TGTAGTTGGGTGTTACGTAGTTGTACAGGATTCCTCTCGGAGTTGTTGGCAGGTGATCAGTCTTCCAACGGTGATCCAGTGATGGATTTCCCTCCTTGATCGAATTTAGAAGATGAAAAAATTTTTAAGCGTTCTTCGGGTTTCTTCTAAGTATCTTTTTTTTTTGAGATACCCTGTCCACAGCGCCAATTTATAACGTGCCCAACAGCGTTACTTGTTGAAATGGAAGCAGTAATTGAACAAAAACCTGTTTTGATAGTATTTATTGTGTTTATTATGTAAAACAGTTTTATAGAAATTATTCTAAGTCCAAATAATTGACTTAAAGCGAGTTGTGACTATGAGTATTTAGTGTGACTGTTGAAGTTGAGGCTGGTTGCTCGTCTGATGAACGCTTGTCCATCAGCTTTCCTCGATGGGTCTCTCCAGTCCCTTCCACAGATTCACATGACCATACATGGTCATCCTGCGGTTAGGCTTATTGTGGGATTTGTCACCCGGTCGTCTATTTATTATATATAAGTAGTTATTTAAGAAATAGTCACAGCTCGCTACAATTGTATATATGTACCTAACGCGTACGTATATATGCATATCAGACCACCCACACCCCATAATATGGTCCGTCTTCATTATTTGTCTCGTGTTTTATTCTAAGTCTAAATATTATATATTACATTTAGATTTTAAAATGTCCTAAAAGTAAAAGATTCTAGTGGAATTACTTATTAGTAATTAATAATTTTCTCCAAAATCTAATAAGTTAACTAAAATAATATTGTGATTTTGATTTTTTAAATAGGAACATCAGGGGAACAAGAACAACCGCAATCTACAAGTGTTCTACCTTATAGTAATCCAGTAATGGCAGTAAGGGTAACCAATAATAATGTTGAAACTGGCAAGAGACTCAAACAATTATTGTTGTCTAATAGGTAAGATTATAAACTATCTTATTAATTTCTAATAATACATTTTCAGAAATAAGTTGAAGACAGATCTGTCATGTTAATAACAGTGTTAATTTGTATATTTGTTAATTTTATATTCTTAAACTTAAAACTAACTAGATTTCAGTATGTTTTATAAATTTATCTTAACTGTTTATGCTTACTTTTATTTATATGTATAATGTATATGCTTGTATATATTCTATATTACACTATATTTTATATGTACGTGCTTATCCAGTAGCCAGTAGTACAAATTACAGCAATTGGATATTGTGTATTTACAGTCGTTGCCAGATAAATTGAGCAGGCGGCGGCGGCGGCGCGATAACGGAAAACCAGTGGTTCTCCGTATTTCAATATTATTAGTTATTACCGAAAATACATCAATAAACCAACAATTGTTACAAAAAATATTTTACGATATTAATTTAAAATCCAATATTCTGATAATAATCTTTTATTTAAGAACAAAAAGCAGACATTTTAAAATAATAAAAATAATATAATAATAATAATAAATAATATTAATAATATGATAAAATAATAACAACAACATATACTCTGTACCAAATAAGAGCGCACCGGGCGGCGCACGAAAACCGGTCGAAACTCGCGCATGTCAGAGAGCGCTGCCGCAGCGTATTCCGGCGCAGGCCAGGTCAACTCTGAATACAGAGTGTTGTATATTATCACACAAATTTTAACGGTATACGCGGTTAGACGATGTTATATTTTTGGTGCGCATTGGTGAATATTTTGAATGTTTTTAATATTATATTGAGTTCAATACCTATGTTAAGAAAAAAAAACGAAAAGTATGTGTATTATTTTACTGATTAATACGCGTGAAACGCATCATTACTTCAGCTCTCTGTATTCACGGCGGCGTCGACGGCGGCGAATCCGACCGACGATCGGCGACCAATCACAGAGCGAATAGACCCGACCAGGGGGTCCAGACGTCGCTCCGCGATTCATTTGGATGCGCCAACGCGGTGCGCTCTTATTTGGTACAGAGTATAGTTTTCTATGGGTTTATGGCTGTAGTGGTGCTACACCTAAATCATCGTCTTCATCTTCAGTACTTGTATCGCTGTCGTCAGTTGTATCTTCTCCGTATGTTACTACTAATTTATCTATTTCGATGTCCATATAACTTTCTTTTTTCCACATTTCTGTTTCTAATTTTTTCACATTTGCACAAACTGCTCCCCACTCAGAATTACCCATAGACTCCATTTTTTGTTTACCCAGTTCTGCAATTTTTTTGATGCTACCATTATGATTTTGTTTTGCAATGTACTGTTTTACTTGTGACCAAATCATTTCAATGGGATTTAAATCAGGATGATACGGTGGTAGTCTAATAATATCATGGCCTTCTTTACTTAATATACCATCTAAAGAATATTTAATAAACACTTGTTTGTGTTTACGTATTATATCGTAAAGTTGTGGTTTTAACATAGTTGAATCAAAACTTATATTATTTTCAGTTAACCAATTTATCATGTCTTTTTTTAAGCTATTTGAGTTTGGAGCACGGTTAGATTGATGACAATGATAAGTCGCATTATCCAATACCACAACATAATTTTTACTTAAATTTGGTAGTAATTTTTCTGTGACCCATTTATAATAATTATCTTTATTCATATTATCGTGGTAATCACCACTAGAGCTTTGAGCTTCCCATGTTAGTAAAGCATTAGGAACAAAACCTTCTTCTCCTCCAGCATGAACAATTATTAAACGCTTTCCTTTACTTAAACTTTGTTTTACTGTATTATCATTATCGACGGAACTCCATGATTTATTAACAACAGGAGATGATAATATGTAACTTTCGTCAGTACCTATACACTATTTTTCTACCTTGTCTACAAAACTCAAGTATTTTTTTTAAGTACTCTATTCTTTTCAAACGTATATTATGTTTTTCTATCAACAATTTTCTATTAGTTTCAGTTTTACGAAATTTGAAACCCATTTCCGAAATTATTCTGTTTAATGTTCTAGTACTCCCCAAATTCATAAAAATTTTTTGTTTTTCAAAAATAAGTTTAACAGTAGGTACAATTTTTTCAACCGTATACATATCTGTGATGGTTCGCTTTAAAGCACATCTATCAAAATCGTCAACTAAAGCTTTTATTTTTGTCACATTATTCCTTTTTTTATCAGGAGTGATAAATGTAGCCTGCAATGTAGAATTTCCAGTTAAATCCATATTTTTCTTACCTTCATACACAATACGTCTAACCGACATTGTAGAATAACCAGTAGCTTCTGCAGTCATCGTATACAACCTACAGTTAGCCATGTCTTCATTTTTATCTTTAAAATATTTGAAAACATTCCAAATTATTTCCCTAGCTTGACTGTGAGCTTTACAATTTTTAATTTTTGAACTCATTATAAAAAAAACTGTTTATTTTATAGCGTATGTATTTAGTACAAAAGAACACGAACCCAATGCTGGAACGAATGAGTAAATATCCATCTATATTAGTATATTCCATAATGTCCATATCTATTAATAATTAATATTGTCATTGGTCAGCCGAGTCATTTATTTTTATACATTTATAATAAACAAATTGTTGGTGACCCGCCGCGCCGTGCGGTCGAAACACACCGGGTTAGGTTAGTTGTTTTTAGCAGTGTACTGCAGTCAGAACGATGGCATGGGAGAGAGAGTTCAGAATATTCTGCAGAAAATTGTTTGCACTGAGCCGGGTTCGAACTGGTGAATGCGCGCGTCGTAGCCAACTGTGTGACCTATGCACCACACTGCCAGCAACTAGTTTGGGCTACACTTACTGAAAAGCGCCGCCGCCGCCTGCTCAATTTATCTGGCAACGACTGTACTATTTAGTAATTATTTACAATTCTCATATTTTATTTTTTAGTTTACAGGTTTAATTATTATCCAACTGGTTTGGAGTGCAATTATTTGTTAAGAGAAAACCGTATTTTGTCTGAGTAGGTAGTAAAAGAGAGTTCTGTAACCTCATCCTGCTGGCAAATTCCTATACCCGTCTGCTCATCCCACTACACCGTCTGCTCATCCCACTATACCCGTCTGCTCATCCCACTACACCGTCTGCTCATCCCATGGGTTGAGCTAACTATCACGCACGTATACGATATGCCCCCCGCCACCCCGCTCTTCCCTATACCCCCTGCACAACCCTATACATTGACGGCTGCTGAACCCACCATATATCACACACGTTAACGATGTACCCCCTCCACCCCACCACCTATGACCACCGCTCGACATTGCCGCCGCGCGTGGAAAATAATTTAAAAATTTATCCGTCAGTCCGGGATTCGAACCCGGTTCCCTAGCATGATAAGCGACCACCGTACCACTAGGCCGCCTACCCGCATATGTTTGAGAAGGTATATTCTATCTCATTTAACTGGCGTTTACGACGTCCGCTTACGTACGCGAGGTATAATTTCCCCCGCCACTATACCATACCAAGAGCCGCCGCGAACGCGCGCGCGAGCCCTCCGGTGCGTTATCACAGTGACTTTAACACAAAATAATCTACTGGTATATTTTTAACAATAAACGTTCATCACATTCCTTTGCAAGCGTTAGCAGTCTTAACAAACATGTAGCTACTCGCATAACATTTAGAAATATATATACATTCACATTCCTTTTTAAGCGTCATCAGCGTCAACAGACCTGTAGCTGCATGCATTACCCCCTCCCGATTAACCTGTAGGGACTTTTCTATGTCTCCCCCACCAATTAATATTTAATTTGTTCGTTTATGAACACAACTACACAACATAAATTCAGTCACTCTATATCGTTCCAAGTGTCTACTCCGCGCGTGTGCTTGTCTCATATTCAGTAGGTTAGTAATG